TGTATGTTATAATAAAGCTATTCAAATGCTTATAATATTAAATTTTAAAAAAGGCTTGTAAACTGAAGTTACTGTATTATATAAGGATATAAAATCATGCATTATTCATTATTGCTACTTGTGAAATGTAAGATTAAGTACATTTTTGTTAAGAGCGGTTTGGGCTAATTTCAAATTCAAACGAATAAATTAAATCAATTTCGGGGTTCATTAATCTATTGCTCTTCGGTCTTAGAAGATACAGTAATACCCCGAAATTACGCGATAGATGGGACCGAGCGGTAACCGCGTAAGTTGGGGTTTAATTTCGCATATAAATACAGTAAATCCCCCTATAAGACTGGTTCCTATAATTACGATTCCTATAAGACGGCGAAAAATTTGTGGCGGTATCCGTACACAACAATAAAAAACTCCTATAATTACGTAAAACGTCATCGGGCAGCCGAACTACTTTTCTGCCGTCCGTAGCGCCACGCTACGGACGTTTAGGCGGGTAAATTGAGTTTAGTTTCGTCTGTACATATAATTATATATAAATTAGGTACTGTATATATAATTATATATTAACTTAATTTATTGTAACTTTATTATAAATATATTTAGGCTTTCTGTCGCGTGGCGCATCGATACCGAGAGTTTAGACGAACTATCGTCTGTACAGTATGTAAATTAGGTACCGTAGTAATACAGTACTGTAATTTTATACATTTTGTGTGAAAGAAACATTTCTTATTCAACGGCGATAAAAGTCATTTATATTAATAATGTCTCCAAAGTTCAGCGAAGTTTTCGCAGAAATATAACATCAGAAATCGCGGCCGCAGTTTGCTGAGCTGTTCCGCGACGAAAACAAGCTTGAGCAACGGCGATGTCGAATGATGCACACTCGGTAAGTAATCCTACAATTTTTTGTTTATAGCGTAGTTTATACGGATTATTCCCAAAAAATATATACGTATTTTGGAAATGTTGAGTCGGATTAGTCTAGAATCGATTAATTTTATGGAAGAAAATCTTTCAAACAGCCGTAGTCCGTAAACTTGACACGTGTCGGGTTGTGATTGGAAGGATTCGTAAGAAAGCGGATTCCTAGAGAATGGAACGTATCTCTATCTTATAGGGGGGTCGACTGTA